GCTGGTCCTTAACTTATCAAACACAATTATATTGCCAGTACAAAACTTGAGAAAATTGATGAGAGGCTGAGGCATAATATCTACAACAGGGTTCTTCAATGGCAACACTATTGACATTTTGGGCTGGGTAATTATGTGTTGTGGGGGTTGTCCTGTGCATTGTAGATGTTTAGCAGCATCCTTGCTCTGGCTTCTATTCACTAGATTGATGCCAATAGCACAGCCGCCCCTAACCCCAATTTCATTGTGACAACCAAAAATATCTTTGGACTTTGCCAAATGTGCCCTGGAGGGAAAGTTGCCTCTATTTGAGAACCACTGATATAGGATGAGTGGTAGCTGTTTTGGAGGGGGTTGGGGATGCCCAACACTCACGTTAAGTAGCAGTGAGCTGGGGCCAGCACCCAGTTTTTTTTGATGAGGACACCCACACAGGGGTTGAAGTGAGACTTGAGGTATGCCAAATAGGGAGCATGGTCTTCTTTCTGCACAGACGAGTGAGTGGAGAAAAATGCTCCTGAGAAAATAAAATGTCTGCATATATAAGACATTCTTATAACAAATAATACCATCAGTAATTTCCTAGTTGAAAAGGAATATATACAGTTTTAAAGAAGTAATTGGCCAAGAAATATTTGACATTTTTTCCTAATAAAAATGTAAATTGAAATGACATACCATTTTATCTAATATTTACAATAATCATTTTTGTTTAATGTTGATAAGATTCAGTCAAGGAAAGTATAACGAGACGGACTCTCATTCACTGTTTTTAGGAATGTGAATTGATTGTTACTTTTTGAAAAACAATTTAGGAATAGGTATCAAGAATTATAAATGGTTCATCACCTGTGATCTAATCGTTCCAGCCCCAATAATTCATTCTACTAAAATAATCAGATGTAGACAAAGATTATGAATAAGTATGCTCATTTTAGCACTGTTTATAGTAACTAAACATTGGAAACATAAATGTCCAATACAGTAATGTTGGACATTGAAATGAAAAAGTACATGTACAAATGGAACATCATACATATTAATTTGCATAAATCATATTTATAAATATGAAACAGCAAAGGAAATATTGGTAACTTTTCTTTAAGTTAAAAATAATTAAATCCAGTAATTCAATGGTCTAAAATAAGAAGCAACAAATAAACCATTTAAGTGCAAAAATATACAAATAAAATAAAGTCTGGGAGTAAATTCAAACCAACTATTAGCACTGGAAGAGTGCGCTCAACCTGTCCCGAGAGCCCTTGAATGGGGCATAGGAAGGGAAAACCCTCATTCTGCTCATAACCCTTTCTCTTGACTCTTTTTTGCACCTTCTACACACACATCTGCCTTATTCCATCCTACATTAACCCATATCTTACAGGATAGATTAGAAGGTCATGTATACATACCAACAAGGACACTCAAACAGAAGATAAATTTCATAGCAATCTAGATCTTTCCCTATGACATGTAGAAGAAGATCAGTAGAGTATGGAACTTTTTCAGCTCAGTCTTCTCCTTGAGAACACCTGGTAGAATCAGTGGATATAGTTAGTATAGGGGACACGCAATGGCAATGAGATTGGAAAACAGCTCTTGACTTAAAAGGGGATAGAAGAGGGTTCTACATAAATAGATGGAGGCCCTTCTGCACCAGGGAAGGAGGGGACTGTACCTCTATTGGGGTTTTTCAGGGAAGAAAGGAAAAAGAAGCCTATCTCTTTAGACTTCTGGATCCAGGTTTCTCTATCTGCTATTCCTAAAAGCTCACCTGACTAAAAGTAGTTCAGCTGTCTGTGGGAAAGGGAGCTCTAGACTCAGGACTTACATTCCCCATGGAGTTCTGAGGCCAGTACTACAGGGAACAGGATTCTGCACCTTAGCTCAAGAAGACAGTGTCCCCAAGTTTGCTCTGAACCCCCCAGTAGTTATTTATACTTTCCCTCAGCCCCTCCCTTCTTTATTACACTAGCTTCATCTTTCCCTGCGGTCACTGTTTCATCACTTGGTCATCATCACCAACTTAGTCTAGCCGTCCTGATCAACATTTTTGAGCTAAGAAAATATAGGAATAAAAAGCATTCATAGAGCAGTTATTTTGACATTTGGAGAATGGTTTGAATTCTAGATTACATCAGCTATAGGATCTACTGTATGTTGATGACAGTTAAGAAGGCAGGATCTCTAAGTGGTTTTTTAACCTAATGAAAAGATTTCTCAGCCGATTATCTGCCTCTTTCATCTTGGAATAATTGGGAATACTCTTTAACAAGAAAAAGAGCAGTAATGCTGATAGCTAACACCCATTGAAGGCTTACTGAATCCTATGCACTGAACTAAGTTCTTTACAGACATTGTTAGTAGTGATTTTATATTAAATTACTCTAATATGATGTAAGTTACACTTTGTATCACTATAACCCTTTAAATTTTCTTAAGCCCATAATCTCATTTCAATGTCACAGCCGGGGAAAGAGGAGACAAGGCTGGGCTGATATCATTTTTTTTTTTTTCTGGAGCTATAGGTGACACCTGAAACAGGGAGAATTTAAGTAATTTTCTCAAAATCACACATGACTGGAAAGACTAGAAGTCAAATCTGGGTCTTACTGGATAAACAGCTTTTCAAGTACATACCCTGGGCTGCAACTAAACAACCAGCGTTCATGAATCTTGGAAAACTGCACAAAGTTTCCTCACACCAAGTCCCTCAGGTGTGAAATGAAAAGCGGATGTGGCACATACTTTCCTGAATGTTGCAGTGAACACAGAGGTACATTGTGGAGAGGGCTGCTTAAGGAAATGCAGGTGGGGCAAAAGTAGGTTTACAGTTGTGTATGCATGAAACACAGTTTATTCTTGTATTACTATTTATTAATTGTATTATTTTCTATAAGAGCAGTTGTAAAGCTACTTTTGCCCACCCTGTATACTGAGACAGCATGGAGTTGTGGAAAGTTTCCTGTGGTGTAGGATGGACTCAGTTAACACAGGTGAAAAGTTGAGAAAGAGATATACTTACTCTGAGGTTGTTTCCCCCAGATATTTTGGAAATACTATGGGCTAGGACAGGAGTTTGAGGTCTGGGTTGGGAGTGTGAGGTCTAAGAGCAGAAAAGCAGGGTCACTATCTAGGAAAAGATCTCTAAAAACAATAAATTTTTCTGTAGGAGGTTAGCACTGGGGACTACTACCTCTCTATGAGTTTCAAATTGGTATCTGTAGCCCAGACTTCCAATCCCACATCTTCCAATGCCTTTTAGAGGCCATTGTTGGCATCTTCCTTAGGCCCCTGACATTTAGCATGTTAAAATTACACCCCTCATTTCTCCAGCCTTTCAGATTCATTTTTTTAACCTGTTTTCCTTATTTTGGGATATAAATATGCCTTCCACTTGTTTGATTTCTCTCTTTTTCTTACCACTCAGTCCTCAAATCCTCCCTGTTTTGAGGAATTCCTAAAATCCATCCATATCTTCCCATTCTCATTGCTATCATTCTAATCTAGGTCATACACTTGTCTCCCATGACCTAATGTATGTGACCATCCATTGTTTCCCAAATTGACTCTTTCTCTCTGACTCAGAATTGTTTTTTCTCTAAAATCCAAATGAGGTCATATTAGTCTTCTTAAAACTCTTCAGTAGTTCCCTACTGCCTAAAGAATAAATCTGAGCATGATTTAGGAACCTCCCTTGATCTTCATCTCATTTTGTCTTTGTCAGTCTTTCTTTTCATCCCTCTTTGACACCCCTCTCCCACCTGGCCAGCCTATACACTTCTTTTTGAGGCCTACCAAACTTAATGTGGGTTTTCTTGTTTTAATACTAATAACTTTAGCCCTTAACTCATCCTTAAGCTTATGAATCCCATTCATTTTTTTCCCCTTTTTGTTTTAGGTTAGTGATAGTTCTTAAAGCTTCTCTTTGAAAAAATAATTTTAAAATGGTTTTAGCAGATACCCAGGAAAAAAATTAACTTTAGAATCTTATGGATGGGTGGATTGTGTGTGTGTGTGTGTGTGTGTGTGTGTGTGTGTGTGTGTGTGTGATGTTCAACATTTTTTTGTATGTTTGTAAATTAGTTGTTATTAAGTTCTTTATTACTGTTATTATAGCTTCTCTGTACATATGAAGACATATCTGTCCCCAGCCTCATTCCACAGAATATCTCAAGTTTATAGGACTGTAAATCTATTATTGTTTTATTCTGCCATCTGCTTTACCATTTAAGTAATACTCTTGTTATATTTTGCCACCAAAAATAAATTTTAAAAAGGCAGCTAGAGAGAAAGTTGAGAGAGATGAAGAGAGAGTGCATGAGAGAGCGAGCAAGTGAGCATAGACGGGCCATATCCAAGGGGGCAGTGTGGTAAGAACAGATTGACAGGGGCCACTGGTATGGGTATTGGTTGGGAACTTTTATTCAAATTGATATCTGTGGTTGTGTGGTATGGATCTGTACAAGTGAAGCAGTTCTGAGGAGGGGTGGGCTAAGTGTGACATATGCATAAAGGGGAGGGGAGTCAGTGTCACACAGAGGGGTGGAGACAGCTCTGCTTCATCAGAGTAGTCCAGAACGGAGAGGGGTCAGTGGGACATGTAGAGGGAGGGGTGCAAGTCACACACTGTGGGGAAGGAACTGGTGAAAAAACTGAGAGGCAAGGGAAGGAACTTGGGATGAATTTTTAACTCCACAGAAGGTTTAATTGACTCCTGCTTTGGAATTCTTTCCCCTAGATGAGGTGGATAAAGCTAAAATCCTAGGAATTCATCATCCCATAGGGTGGATTTTTACTTAGGCTGAGAAGACTTCTATATCTACTGTCCTGTTTTACACTGAGGCTCAAGACCAGAAAGAGAGCCCTTGAGACTACAAACTTGTATAGAGTCCTCATCCTGGCTCAATCCCCTGCACCTCCTCCCACTGAATTCCCACGCAGGTTATAAGTTCTATCCCTGCTTTGTGCCTATTAGTTTCACTACATCCTTATCTTCAGAACAGGATTCAGGCATCAACATGAAGTGTGTTCTATTAACCTTACTGATGGTGACTGGTGAGTGATGACCAAGTTCATTAGAACTCTATGGGGGGGGGAGGGGGAGGTTTGGAGCTTGTTGGAGAGGGAGAGCTGGTGCATAAGGAACATGGAAGTTTGGGAAGTAGGTGATATACTAGTTATTTTCTGTACAGGTTCAGTGATTTATTATATCTAACTACACCTTTTTATTATGGGCTTAAAACCTCCTGTGAATGTCTGATAACCTTCTCTGGTTGAAACATGGAGGATGTCAGAAGGGAGGATGGAGATAGGATCCTGGAAGAGGGCATAGAAATTTATAAAAGAAAATAAAAAGCAAAGACAGTAGGTATTTTGCTGTGTGGTTCAAAAGGAAAAAGTAGATTTTGTTCTTGGGCTTTAAAATGTGTAATAAATAATAATAGTCAAACCACCACCACCACCACAAAAGCATATCTTACCTAATAATAGACAAACATGTAAATTGACTGTACCTTCGCTACGCTAACCAGCCAATCAGGAGAGTATGCAAATTAACCTAACAAAGATGGCAGTTAATTTGCATATGTAGGCTCCAAGCGGTGGAGCAAAACCTGACAGCCCCGGGGCCGGCAGAGCAGCGAAAGCCTCACAGCCGCGGGGCCCGCGGAGCATATTTGGTGGCAAGCATATTTGTACCATGCGGGGCCAGCGGAGCAGCGAAAGCCTCACGACTGTGGGGCCAACTCCAGCTGGAGCCTGGCCAGAGCGAAGGCCTGGGTGCCGGGTGCCAGAGGAAAACGAGTGCCAGCGGCCAGGGGAAAGGAAGGTCTTTTGCATGAATCTCTTCGTGCAACAGGCCTCTAGTACTTATATAATGAACACTGCCCTGTTTTCTACATATAAACTCATTTAATTCATATTAAAACTTTTTGAGATAAGTATTATTGTTCTTATTTAGTTGATAAGAAACTGAGGCACAGAGAAATTAAGTATCTTGCCCATAATGAAATTAGTATGGCTCTGTAATTAATCAATAATGCTCTTCTACTTAATAGTTAAGTGGTTTTGGACAAATGCCTTAACCTCTCTGAACCTCAGTTTTCTTATATGAAAAATGAGAAAAATAATGTCTGTCTTTTAATGACATGTAATGCTTCCTATAAACTGACTGTAGTTAACCGAGTTAAGTGCAGTAGGGGATGGGTAGGTTGTTTCATTCACACAGAGGAACCAGCAAGTGTGAAGGTCATAAAGTGGGACATACTTAACTAAAAGACCATCCCTATTGCTGGAGTGCAGAGGAAGGAAGTAGACTAAGAGTTATATATTGTAGAGGGTCTTCTAGTCTTGGTTTTAGAAATTATTCTCTTGGAGTCATGATGTCTGGTCCCAAAGCATCCCTACAGTTGACTAGTAGGAAAAGTCAGGGAGCTGTGCAAAAGGCTGCATTGCTGTGACTGGATAGAGCTAAGAAATAGTAAGATTTTAAGAGACTAGAAATGATCAAGGATGTCTGGAAAGAAGAAGGGAGGTCAGGTAGAGAATAAGTGCATACATTGGATTTGGAATCAGATACACTGAAGTCTGAAACCTTGAACTAACCATAATCCACTATTTGTGTGGCCTCAAGGAACTTTCCTAATGTGTAAGTTCTTAATATGTAAAGTAATATAAAATGTATCTACCCTACAAAAAAGTCTAAAAGTATGTGAAGTGCTTAGTACAGTGTTTTTATCATGCGATTTTCTAGTACCATAGTATGGGGGCTACGTGATTAATAAGTGATAAATACTGATATGGACTGACACTGGATCCTAAAATCTCCATAACCAGCCCACTTCCTTTAATCAGCTGAGTTACCTATTGATTCTCTTCTCTCTTTGTCCCAGGTGTTGTTCCACTTGTTAGTGAAGACATGGAAGACTTAGGTCAGATGCTGTACTTATTATATCTGAAATCTAGTTATAAGCCCTGTGTGGGGACTCTGATTGCCCCCCAGTGGGTGGTGACAGCAGCTCACTGCTTCTTGCCGTAAGTACTGAGGATCAGTTCCCTCTGTTCTAAAGCTCCAAAGCTGGGCCTCAATACTTCTTGTGCTGGTCAAGAAATCCTAGGCCTCTGATGGTCCAGTGGAGCTCAGCTACTCAGATAACACTTGACTAAGGAATGTCCCACATTCTTATGTTTAACATGTCCAGAAGGAAAAATAATGTGGTACAATATCTTACATGTATGTAAAAATAATCCTGCAAATCATTCTTAATATTTTTTAAGGTTCATCCAAAGTGGTAGGCGTGTGATTGTATTTCCTTTTTAATTGTGTGATATAATATTTCAGTTCAAATGTCCCACAACTTGTTCATTCTTAACAGGCATTTGAGTTATTTCTAGTTTCTGTTCTTTTGAACAGTGTTACTGTAAGCAGATTTGTACCATGCACCTTAAAGAATATTCTTGTGTATATATCTGCAATATTTATCTGTGTTGGTGTGTATCCATATTGATTTACACTTAGTGGCCAGATTATTATGACCACCCCATCAGTACTTCATTGGGCCACCTTTTGCCTTCAATACTGGGGCGATTCTTCTTGGCATTGACTCCACGAGATGTGGAAAGGTGATGCGAGGAATCTGACACCATGCCTGATGCATAGCACTGTCCAGTTCTGTGAGGTTGTGGAACCAGCTGCCTGATGGCTCTTTTAACTTCGTCCCACAAATGCTCAATTGGATTGAGATCTAGTGATTGTGGGGGCCACCTAAGCAAGGTAAAGTCTCCCTCATGTTCTTGAAACCACTCCTCCACAATACCGTGGCATGGCGCATTGTCTTGTTGGAAGAACCCATCTCCATTGGGATATGCCATCAACATGATAGGATGAATTTGATCAGCAACGATACTTAGGTATGTTGTGCTATTCAGACGTTGTTCCACATGAATTAAAGGGCCCAAATCATGCCAGGAAAACATGCCCCAAACCATAACACTGCCCCCACCTGCTTGAATGGTTGTATTCATGCATGTGGGAGTGCATGTTTTCATGCTATTTCCACCAAATTATCACTCTGCCATCTGCATGATGCAACTGGAAATGTGAATCATCGGACCACATGACTTTTTTTCCAATGCTTGACTGTCCAATCATTTGTTCCTGTGTGAATTGGAGACATTTTATCATGGTGACTGCAGACGGTAAAGGTGTTCGAACAGGCCTTCGGCTTCTATATCCCATACTATGCAGTGTACGGCTAATTTGCCTACAAATGTCAGGTGGTCATAATAATCTGACCACACAGTGTATATCTGCAAGTATACCTCTAGAGTAAACACAGTGGTCCCCCCTTATCCACAGTTTTGCTTTTCATGGTCTCAGTGAACTGTGGTCAACTGCAGTTTGAAAATATTAAATGGAAAGTTTCAGAAATAAGCAATTCATAAGTTTTAAATTGTACTGTTCTGAGTAGCATGATGAAATCTGGTGCCATTCCATTTTGTCCTGCCCAGGACATGAAACATCCACGCTACATACCCTACCTACCTGTTAGTCACTTAGCCATTTGGGTTAAGGTATTAATGATTATGGTATCACAGTGCTTGTGTTCAAGACACCCTATTTTGCATAATAATGGCCCCAAAACACAAGAATAGTGATGCTAGCCCTCTGGATATGCCAAAGAGAAGCTGTAAAGTGCTACCTGTAAGTGAAAAGGTGAAAGTTCTCAACCTCATAGGCATTTTATCATCTTACATCATCACTAGAAGAAGGGTGAATACAATAGGTTATTTTGAGAGGGGTGGAAAGAGAGAGACACCCCATATTCACATAACTCCTATTATAGTATATTGTTATAATTGTTCTATTTTATTATTAGTTGTTATTCTCTTACTGTGTCAAATTTACAAGTTAAAGTTTATCAGAGGTATGTATATATAGGAAAAAACCATAGTATATATATGGGTTGGTACTATCTGCAGCTTGTCATCCACTGGGAGTCTTGGAACATATTGCCCATGGGTAAGGAGAGACTACTATAATTAGGAGTGGAATTTTTGGGTCATAGAAGATGCAAATGTTAGCTTTTACACATCCTCCAGTAATTTATAAGCATTCTTCCAACATTGGGTATTGTCCAACTTTTGTTGTTGTTGCTGACTATCAAATATCTTATTATGTTCCTCATTTTAAAAAAGGCGAAAGATTTATGCGATCTGAAGAGAAACCAGAGTATATGTGTTCCTCATTTTATTAGCATTTTATTTCTCCTCCTACTTCTGCCAGTAATGTTTCTTTTAGGAAATATCTTTCTTTAAAATTTATCTTTATTGTTGAAAGTATACAGCTGTCCCCCTCTTCTCTCTTCATTGACCACCTACTTCCCCCATCCCGTTCACTCCCCTCAGGCCTTCACAACATTATTGTCTGTGTCTATGGGTTATGCATATATGCATATAAGTTCTTTGGTTAATGTCTTCCCTCTCCTCCACCCCCTCCCCTGAGATTCATCAGTCTCTTCCATATCTCTGGGTCTATTTTGTTCATCAGTTTATTTTGTTTATTAGATTCCACATAGAAGTGAGATCATGTGATACTTGTTTTTCTGTGACTGGCTTATTTTGCTTAGCATAATACTCTCCAGGTCTCTCCATGCTGTCTCAAAGGGTAAGAGATCTTTCTTTTTTATAGCTGCATAGTATTCCATTCTATATATGCACCACAACACTTTTATTCATTTATCTACTAATGGGCATTTGTTCTGTTTAAAACGACAGTGAGGTATCACCTTACACCTGCCAGAATGGCTACCATAAACAAATCAACAAACAATAAGCAGGAACTACTCTTTTGAATATTTGTGTTTTGAATTTTTTGAAAATTGCTTTGTAGGACTTTGACAAATGCTCTAGTTATTTCTCTTTTGTCAGTTGTATATGTGTTGAAAATTTCTTCTTCCAGTTTTTGGCTTGATCTTCTTTTTATGGTGTATTTTGCTGAATAAGAGTCTTAACTTTGATATAATTCAATTTAACACTTGAATTATCAATCTTTATTTGTGGTTACTGGGTATTGTGCTTAGTTGAAAATATTCATTATGACCTTAAGATCAGAAATATAGTTCTTTAAATTTACTTCTACAGATTTTAAAGCTTTGATTTCATATTTAAACACATCATTTGGAATTGATTTTTATGAATTGTGTGAAATAGGAATCCAATTTTTTTTTTTTAGCATACTAACCAAATATCCCAATATAATTTATCTAATGATCCCCTCTTTCCCTGGTGATCTGCAATGCTGCTCTTGTATCTAAGTGTCTGTTTCTGGGCTCTTTATGCTGTTCCATTGTTTAAGTTATTATGGACCAATACCACAATGTCATAATAATTATGTCTTTATCATAAATCTATGACATCTGATAGGGTAGACCAGGGATCTTATTCTAAATCAGGAACACCTAGGTATTTTTTTAAAAATAAATTTTAAAATCAACTTGTCAAGTTCAATTAAAAAATTCTGTTGGGATTTATTTAGAATTGCTTTGATTCTTTATGTTAGTTGAGAAGAACTTCATACATTTTAATATGAATATTTAATGTAACAAGGTCTAAAGTTAAAAAATATCCCAATGCCCTCCTCATGTCCCTTCTCACTTATATTCCATCAATATCCCTCAGAGGCAACCACTATTTTGTTGTTTTTCCACCATAGTTTAGTTTTTCATGCCACTGAGTTATTTTAAGCCCCGATTCACTCAACATAATTTGCCTGAGTCATCTATTTATCATGAATTCTCTCCAAAATAAACTTCTGTATTTACTTGCAAACATCTTTTATGGTAAATCAAAGTAGTTTCTTAAGAGAAGGTAAAAAGGGAAATTGAGGGGGAAGAGAAAACATAAGAGGGACCCATTTTATATAGTTACTAGAGGCCCAGTGCACAAAATTTGTGCATGGGGGTAGGAGGGGGTTGAGCTGGCCTGCACCCTCTCAAATCTGGGACCCCTCGGGGGATGTCCGACTGCCGGTTTAGGCCTGATTCCGGCAGATCGGGCCTAAACCGGCAGTCGGACATCCCTCTCGCAATCCAGGACCGCTGGCTCCTAACTGTTCACCTGCCTGCCTGGTCGCCCCTAACTGCCCTCCCCTGCTGGCCTGGTCATCACCCCTAACCACCTCAGCCTCAGCTTCCGCCACTGCAACTTTGTCCGGAAGGACGTCCGGAAGGTTGTTTGGCTGTCTGGTCTAATTAGCATATTACGCTTTTATTAGTGTAGATTAACACTGTAAATGTGAGTGATTTTTCTTCCACAAGAAAGGAGAGTAATCTTAGAAGCAGAAAAAGCCAATTTGATAAACATAGACACACAAGAGAGCTGCTATAGCTGATTTAAACAATAAGTTGGACCTAACAATTCCATCATGTTGAATAATTAAAACACCAATTCTTATTAATTCCCAGGGATGAAAATAGAGGAGGTGATCCATTAAGTGATTTCTCATTTAGACCAACAAGAGAGACTCTTATCACAAGGGTTTCTTCCCTTTTTGTTCTAATGTATCTCTCAAATGAACAATCTTGCTCTTATCAAAAGTTCCTCAAAGTAGCCATTGCATTTCTTGACAGTCTTTTGAATGGGAAATTATGCCCTTTAGGGTGATATCATGTAAATTTACATATGAAGGGAGTACATGTTTGGTACAGACGAGCAAACAGACTGATATGATCTAAGGAGAATTGCGACAGTCAGTAAAACAACTTAACCAAAGACCTGTCATCCCCACCTGAGGCCCAGAAAAATCCTTCACTCCAAGCAGGTGAAAATAGAACAGTGGTTCTCAGGGACACAAAAACATGACAAAGGAAAACTCTTGTAGTGTACAATGTCTTGTAAAATTCACCCAAGGCAAAGTTTATCAAAAGGATGATGCTTTGATGAAATCTTCTAAACTTGTCAGTCCATGGGGTTGGCTTAAGGATGGACTTATCAGGCCCATTCCTGTCTTTTTTTTTGTTTTTTTGTTTTTGTTTTTGTTTTTGTTTGTTTTGTTTTGTTTTGTTTTCAAAAAATATTTTTATTGATTTGAGAGAGAGAGAGAGAGAGAGAGAGGAAACATTGATGAAAGAAAAACATCAACATCGACTGGTTGCCTCCTGCACATGCCTTGCTGGGGATCGAGCTCGCAACTCGGGCATGTGTCCTGATGCAGAATCAAACCGGTGACCTCTTGGTGCATGGATTGATGCTGAACCACTGAGCCTCACTGGCTGGGCAGTGCCATGCTGTTTTTTTTATTATTATTATTATTATTATTATTATTATTATTATTATTATTAGTTAAGGTATTACAAATGTGTCCTCATCCCCCCCATTAACCCCCAACCTCCCCCCCACACACAAACTCATGCTCCCATCCCCCTGTTGTCCATGTCCATTGGTTTGGCTTATATACATGTATACAAGTCCTTCGGTTGATCTCTTCCCCTTACCCCCGCCCTCCCCTACTTTCCTTCTGGGGATTGATAGCCTGATTGCTGTTTCTCAGTCTTTGGGTCTGTCCCTTTTCATCAGTCTATGTTGTTCTCTATAATCCACAAATGAGTGAGATCATGTGGTATTTATCTTTCTCTGACTGGCTTATTTCACTTAGCATAATGCTCTCCAGTTCCATCCATGCTGTTGCAAAAGGCAAGAGTTCCTTTTTTTTTTTACCGCAGCGTAGTATTCCATTGTGTATATGTACCACAGTTTTCTAATCCACTCATCTGCTGATGGGCACTTAGGCTGTTTCCAAATCTTAGCTATGGTGAATTGTGCTGCTATGAACATAGGGGTGCATATATCCTTTCTGATTGGCGTTTCTGGTTTCTTGGGATATATTCCTAGTAGTGGGATCACTGGGTCAAATGGGAGTTCCATTTTTAGTCTTCTGAGGTAGCTCCATACTGTTCTCCACAGTGGCTGCACCAGTCTGCATTCCCACCAGCAGTGCAGAAGGGTTCCTTTTTCTCCACATCCTCTCCAACACTTGTTGTTTGTTGATTTGTTGATGATAGCCATTCTGACAGGTGTGAGATGATAACGCATTGTCGTTTTGATTTGCATCTCTCGTATAATTAGTGACTTTGAGCAGGTTTTCATATGTCTTTCGGCCTTCTGTATGTCCTCTTTCGAAAAGTGTCTATCTAGGTCCGTTGCCCATTTTTTTATTGGATTGTTTATCTTCCTTTTGTTAAGTTTCATGAGATCCCTGTAAATGTTGGAAATTAAACCCTTATCGGTAGTATCATTGGCAAATATGTTCTCCCATGTAGTGGGTCTTCTTGTTGTTTTGTTGATGGTTTCCTTTGCTGTGCAAAAGCTTTTTATTTTGATGTAGTCCCATTTGTTTATTTTCTCTTTAGTTTCCATTGCCCTAGGAGCATTATCAGAGAAGAAATTTCTTCGGCATATGTTTGCGATTTCGCTGCCTGTGGATTCCTCTAGTATTTTTATGGTTTCCCGTCTTACGTTTAAGTCTTTTATCCATTTTGAGTTTATTTTTGTGTATGGTGTGAGTTGGTGATCTAGTTTCATCCTTTTGCATGTATCTGTCCAATTTTCCCAACACCATTTATTGAAAAGACTGTCTTGACTCCATTGTATGCTCTTGCCTCCTTTGTCGAATATTAATTGGGCATAGTGGTTTGGGTTGATTTCTGGGGTCTCTATTCTATTCCATTGATCTATATGTCTGTTCTTGTGCCAGTACCAAGCTGTTTTAAGAACAGTGGCTTTGTAATACAGTTTGATATCTGGTATTGAGATCCCACCTACTTTGTTCTTTCTCAGGATTGCTGCAGCTATTCGGGGTCTCCATTCCTGTCTTATCCCTTTAGACCAGTGGTTCTCAACCTGTGGGTCGCGCCCCCTTTGGGGGTCGAACGACCCCTTCACAGGGGTTGCCTAAGACCATCGGAAAACACATATATAATTACATATTGTTTTTTTGATTAATCACTATGTTTTAATTATGTTCAAGTTATAAAAATGAAATTGGGGGTCACTACAACATGAGGAACTGTATTAAAGGGTCACGGCATTAGGAAGGTTGAGAATCACTGTTTTAGACTTTATCTTAAACTCCGAACAAAGTTACAAGAACAGACTGAGGCAAATGGTATTGTTGTTAGGAGACAAAATAAACTTGACATTTGGGAGTTCAACAAAAAAAGTGGTGCTCGGTTACCTATGTGCTGCTTACCTTACCTTCATGGTTGGAGAGACCCCTGAGTGAGACTCAGGGAGGTGTCCTGTTCTGAAACCGGAGTGTTGAGCCAGGATAGTAAGTAGATCTCAAATGGATCTCAGTGGAACATCCAGGATTTTTGACTATTGTTCTCCTAAAGGACCATCAGAAAACCTTGTTGATCCAGCAAAGTTTTGATAGAGAGGTAAAGCATAGTGTATTCAGGCAAGCCTCCCTAGCTTAAAAATATTTCAACTCTCCAAGCTTTCTTTGTACAATCTCACATTTCTTGTTCCCTCCCATCAAAGGAGCTTCCCTAATAGAACCTATTACTTTCATAGAAGCCTTGACAACCCATTTGCATGCATCTTTCAATTTTCTTGGTCTTGAATTGGAACTACTCTCTGGAATTATGCTAAGAGTAGAGCCCAATCACATTATAGGTTATGGAAATGGCAAATTATTGGATTTACATAATGCACAACCTTCATGACCACCTATAGTAGCTGCACATAAAAGATAAAATGGACAAAGATGAGAAGAGAAGGTGAAGTGGGTGATTATAGAAGGAAATGTATGTGTGTGTATGTGTGTGTGTGTGAGTGAGAAAGAGATTAGCCTTGTGATGTATGATAGTATCTTTTTTCCCCCTTAATTTTCTAGAGATCTCCAGGTCATCTTTTTTGGTGGTTCTCAAAGTTTTCAAGACTTTACAGGGGAGATTATACCTTATGAGAAGATCTTCATTCACCCAAACTTCACTGCCACTTCTCCTAAAAATGACCTCATGCTGATAAAGCTGTCTCTACCTTTCATCTTTGTCACTGAGTTTTTTCAGTTGCCTACTCTTGTGAATAATGAAGTTAAAGATTGCTTGGTTCACACCTGGTTACAGGGTGAAGATTATTTTGGTGAGTGACTGTCAAAAGGAAGAGTTAGTTGTATTCTTAGATATATTCACACCTTCAGACCTCTGAGGAATTAGGGGAAGGGATTGGAACTTATAGGCCCAGTGCCAGATTTCTAAGCACATGTGTGAAACTAGAAATGGAGCAACCATAATGGCTCCCTAAAGTAGAAGGGGTGGCTCCTTGAGGCCTTTGAGAATCAAATCCTAAATCAAGGGGTCACATGTGTATATCATATTGGCACATGCAGCAGGGGGCTGGATGCTGTATCTATGCTTGAGTTTTGGTTCTGCCATTTATTATAGGGTTATGGACACATTATTTAACTTATTTGAATCTTAAAAATGTGTGAAAATAATATTTTACCTTTGTCTAACAGGAGTGATATTGTTATAACTACAACAGCAACAATAGATACCATTTATTGAGCACTAATTATGTACTAGGCACTAAGTCCCCTCCACGTATTATTTGGTTGTCGTCATACATCATGTTTTCTTAGGATTTATATCTTTTAAGTGAGAAAACCAGGACTCAGGGAGATTAATTCATTGTCTATGGTAACACACCATAGCTTGGATTCAGATCTTGCTTGCTCATTGATGATAAACTGAGCAGGAGGACATGTTTAATCCATGATAAGGTACATCAGTTCTTCTCTGCATTTCTTTTTTTTTGTTGTTAATCCTCATCCAAGGATATTTTTTCCCCATTGATTTTTAATATTTTTTTTAAAATATGTTTTTATTGATTTTTTACAGAGAGGAAGGGAGATAGAGAGTTAGAAACATCGATGAGAAAGAAACATCGATCAGCTGCCTCCTGCACATCTCCTACTGGTGATGTGCCCACAACCCTGGTACATGCCCTTGACTGGAATTGAACCTGGGACCTTTCAGTCCGCAGGCCAACGCTCTATCCACTGAGCCAAACAGGTTTCGGCCCCATTAATTTTTAGAGAGAGTGGAAGGGAGTGAGGCAGAGAGAGAAACATCGATGTGAGAGAGACACATCTATTGATTGCCTCCCTCATGTGTCCCAACTGGGGCTTGGGTTTGAACCTACAACCCAGGTATGTGCCCTTGACCTGGAATTTAACCCATTATTCTTCAGAGTGCAGGCTGATGCTCTAACCACTTAGATACACCGGCCAGGGCTACAGTCTATTTTAACCAAGAATAAATCGCAAAGGAGGAGGAAGCAGGATGCCTTATGAAAATGCAGGTAGGAATGGAAATCTCTCTTACTTCTTGTGCTTAGGAAATCAAGACTATGACCTGCACAGCATTCGTATACAATGGAATCCTCATTTAGACTGCACAAAATTACTGGGTAAAAAATTCCTTGAAGACATGTTCTGTATGCGAAACAAAGTAGGAAGCCAACAGCCATGCCAGGTAACTTTCCTTATCTCATTTTTACATATGCTCAGTAGCTTTTCTTCCTGGCTTTGTGTCTCTGTTACCACTCATCCTTTGTCGAGGCTGTGGAATTTATACTCAGCCTAAGAGCTCTGAGAGCAAGGAGCTGAAGAAGGATGACTCTCTGTCCTCTTCCCTGTGTTAGAGGTGAGAGAAATAGATATTCTGTGAATTCAAAGCTATTTTCCAGTTTCCAGCTACTGCTTTGAAATTTCTGTCTCTATGGATTACTGGGGTAGTTAATACAGTGGAAAGAAGCCTTCAAAATAGTTTCTTATATCCTGGGCTCCTTTGCATGGCAAATATAGTGGCTTTCACTTTTGTTCAGGTATTGAGGAATTCTCAGATGGGAGGGAAGTTCTGATTGCTCTACTCTGTCTGGCAGGTGGTCACAGCTGCACCAGTCATATGTGGCTATGAATTAAAAGGAGTTATGTCTTGGGCAACTGGATGTATTCTGACAGGACACACTATTGTCTTCACTGACCTCTCCAGCTACAGTCCATGGATCAAGAGCATTATTTCTATGAAATAAGCTGATCTGGAGCTCCACTGACACCCTACATCCCAACTGACCCATGGCAACCACATTATGCATCTCAGTCCCAGTCTTTCCTAGGATCTAGGCTTGGCTGAAGTTTCAAAAGAGATCAGTGATGACTCGTGGGTGTTGGCATGGCTCTAGTTTCTTTAACTGCTTGCTTGCTTATCCCCAACTCATGAATACATGCTTATAACATTGAAAACATGAATGTTGGTGTCAAGAAGTGGAGGTGACCCAGGAAGCTTTTTGGATCCTACTAACTCAGCTACTTCTCTTAAAATACTCCCTGCTCTATCCTAAAAACAAAAAAAGACAAGTAGAAATGAGGGTCAGTAGTACCAGGAGTCTATCTGGGCAACATATAAACCACATGCCACAGTATGTGAACAGTAATTTCCTAAAAATTGATTAGATGATTTAGCAGTTCTTCTAAAGACCAACTGTCTATAGGGTCAGTGTGTGTGTGTGTGTGTGTGTGTGTGTGTGTACGTGTGTGTGCTTGTATGTGTCTATGGGTGGTTATAGTTAACTTTTTCATTAGCTACTTAAAAGATCTCTAGAATTCAAGTTTTGCTTAGGTTTGCTGAGGCTATGCAAAGGTCAGTGTAATTTTTGGAATAAGGATTTCTGTATTTAAACAACAGCTATAATATGAATATTATGAATGTCAAGGATTTCATAAATGGTAGGATGATTTTTTTCTAATACATTGTCCTTCCAGTTTACTGTTTAAAAAAAAGATATGTTTTTATTTCAGAGAGAGGAAGAGAGAGAGAGAGAGAGAGAGAGAGAGAGAGAGAGAGAGAGAGAGGGAAATATAAATGATGAGAGAGAATCATTGATCAGCTGCCTCTTGCACGCCCCCTACTGGGAATCGAGCCCACAACCAGGACATGTGCCCTGACCATTAATCAAAACCTGAGTTCCTGGTTCATAGGTTCATGTTCAATCATTGAGCCACACTGGCTGGGCTACTACTATTTTTTTTTTTTTGCTTAGAATCACAAATCGTTTTGAAAGGGCATGAGAGTGGTGGAGTTTATGAGGTTTATGCATGGGAGTTTGCAAACATGCCCCTGGATACACTTTCTATACCATGCATGCATTCATGAGCATACACTTTCATCCATAAGCATGTCCCAGAGGTACCTGTTGCTTACTTTTAAATATGTGTTCTCTACACATTATTTTTAAACTAGTGCTCCAGTGCACAGATTTGTGCACATTGAAAGGAAATTAATTAGAAGGTGGCTGGTGGGGCAGGACTGGACCAGAAGGGCCAGATACGCCCTGGAGCCAACCTCCTGATGTCCCTCCCCAGCCAGCCGCACACCCGGGGCAGTGCTGCAGCTTAAAGGGTGTCTGCAGAGTGATTGGGGTCCCTCCAGCAGGTGGGCCTGTGGGGATTGGTCTGAAACTGGCTCTCTGACATCCCCCAAGGGGTCCCGGATTGTGAGAGGGTGGTTTTCGGGTGACGCACCCTGAAATCAGGCTCCCTCCTCTCTGGTTCCAGGGTGCATCACCCAAGAACCGCTGCTACCAAGTCACCGCAGCCCAGCAGCTCCTGCATTTGACCCCTGGTGGTCAGTGCGCATCATAGCTACTGGTCAGACAGTCTAATAGTTGCTTAGCCTTTTATATATATACATTAATACATGATAGAATAAATTGACTTCTAAATTAAAGCCTATCCATTTTCATGTAAAATATTCGGCATTCAAGAAACTTCATTGTCTGAAATGTGAAACATAATTTGTTTTGTCCTGTGAAATATTGGGATTCTTTTGTTTAAGTTTCTATCTGATTGATATAAATCACCTACTTTTACAAAACCTCACACAACAAAAGCCATTCTTTCTTTCTTTCTTTTTATTGTTGACACTATTACAGATGTTGCCATTCTCCTTCCCCCCCTTTCCCCACTTCTGCCCAGCCTGACCCCCTTCTCTCTGGGCATCACCATATTGTTGTTCGTTCTTTAGATAATCCCTTCACCTTCTTTCATCCAGTCCCCCTTCCTCCTCCTCTCTGACAGCTGTCAGTCTGTTCCATGTTTCCATGCCCCTGCTTCTATTTTGTTCATCAGTTTATTTTGTTCATTAGATGAAACCTTTCTTTTGAGACTATTAATGGGGTCAGAAATAATATGGGAAATGCTCAATGTGCACAGGGGGGTTCAGGAATTGGGCAGTGATTAGTAATTTTAACAGTTTCCACCTGTTTCACCTTTTTGTTGCCTACTTAATTCCTACTAAAGTTTGTTAGACATGCTCTCCATCTTTACTTATCTATACCAGATGGTGTATTATCGTCAGCCAGCTAAGCTAGTTGCAACCTGAACTTTTCACTGGGAAGATCTTTCTAACAACCTACCTCCATGTCTGTCCTTTATGTTTTTATGGCTTCAGACTTATAGATCTGTCACCATTATACTGCAAATATTCTGGCTTGAATCAAGCTTTTTAATTGCTTGGTTACCAGTTCTTCAATTTTTGGGCATTTTTTCTTCTTTATATCTTCTGGACTTGATCTTTCCGGTACTAGTTCCCTTATCTCCATCTCATCTCACACCCCAATATAAAAAGAAAAGGCTAAATCTATCTATCTATCTATCTATCTATCTATCTATCTATCTATCTATCTATCTATCTATCATCTATCTCTGAGACTAGACCATTCATCACACTACTAATTTTTGTAAGAGTGTCACTACTTTTCTAATTACTCTCAATTTCTCCTAAGCTCAAATCCCATAGATGGTTGTTTCTAAGCCTTTTCTTTCCTATCCTCATTTTAACTTTGTCTACCAAGCACTTTAGGCTGCCTGTGCTCTGTCTTCTCTCATCTACCTCTTCTCCTGACATGCCACAAATCACTGTTGCATTCCATTTTGGGTTCCTTTTTTTTATTATTATTATTAATTAAATCTTTATTGTTCAGATTATTACATTTGTTCCTCTTTTTCCCCCCCATAACTCCCCCCCACCCAGTTCCCACCCCACCCTCCTCCCTCACTCCCCACCCACTGTCCTCATCCATAGGTGCACGATTTTTGTCCAGTCTCTTCCCGCATCCCCCTCACCCCTTTCCCCCCCAAAAATAGTCCACTCCCTTTCTATGCCCCTGATTCTATTATAATTACCAGTTTATTCTGTTCATCAGATTATTCACTTGATTTTCAGATTCACTTGTTGATAGATGCATATTTGTTGTTCATAATTTGTATCTTTACCTTTTTCTTCTTCCTCCTCTTCTTAAAGGATACCTTTCAGCATTTCATATAATACTGGTTTGGTGGTGATGAATTCCTTTAGCTTTTTCTTATCTGTGAAGCTCTTTATCTGACCTTCAATTCTGAATGATAGCTTTGCTGGATAAAGTAATCTTGGTTGTAGGTTCTTGCTCTTCATCACTTTGAATATTTCTTGCCACTCCCTTCTGGCCTGCAAAGTTGCTGTTGAGAAATCAGCTGACAGTTGTATGGGTACTCCCTTGTAGGTAACTGACTTTCTTTCTCTTGCTGCTTTGAAGATTCTCTGTCTTTTGCTCTTGGCATTTTAATTATGATGTGTCTTGGTGTGGTCCTCTTTGGATTCCTTTTGTTTGGGGTTCTCTGTGCTTCCTGGACTTGTAAGTCTATTTCTTTCACCAGGTAGGGGAAGTTTTCTGTCATTATTTCTTCAAATTGGTTTTCAATATCTTGCTCTCTCTCTTCTTCTGGCACCCCTATAATTCTGATGTTGGTACGCTTGAAGCTTTCCCAGAGGCTCCTTACACTGTCTTCGTATTTTTGGATTCTTTATTCATTTTGCTTTTCCGGTTGGGTGCTTTTCGCTTCTTCGTATTTCAAATTGTTGACTCGATTCTTTCGATCCTCTAGTCTGCTGTTGGGAGTCTGTATAATATTCTTTATTTCAGTCAGTGTATGCTTAATTTCTAGTTGGTCCTTTATCACAACCTCGAGGGGTTTCATTAGATTTCTTGTAGGTCTTGTTAAGTTTATCAGCAGTTTCTAGAAAATTCTTAAAAAACCTTAAAAGTGTGGTTTTGAACTCTATATCCAGTAGTTTGCTTTCCTCCATTTCTGTCATTTGTGTCCTTTTCTTTGTCTCCGCATTTTTTATGCTTCCCTGTGTTGATAAAGTGGTTTTCTGTGCTAAGTGTCCTCTAGGGCCCAGTGGTTCAGCCTCCCCAATTACCTGAGGAGGACACTCTTGGTACACCCCCTTGTGGTCTTTGTGCACAGTCTTGTTGTAGTTAAGCCTTGATTGTTGTAGGTATCACTGGGAGGAATTGACCTCCAGGCCAATTGGCTGTGAGAATCAGCTGTGTCTGCAGTGGGAGAACTTCTGTGCTGGAGACACCCCTCTGGGGCAAGACTTGCTTCAATGGGGCTTTGGTGCTCACTGAGTCTGCCCCCTGAGTGTGTCCTTTATGGTTCCACGGAGCTGCAAACTAGATGGTCCTACTCTGACCTCTGGGTACCCTGGCTCCTGGATCTCTAGGGAGGTGCTAATCTAGCCTCTGCCTTAGGCTGTCCAGCAAAAGCCTCCCTGCAGGGCTTGGGCGGGGCGGGGTGGGTTCCACGGGATCAACAGGGCAGGGCTAGCAATTATGGCTGCTCTCAGAGGCCCCACTTCTCAGTGTCTTGGCAATAGCTGCAAGCCCCTCTGAGAGAAAGCTGCCCTTGAGTTCCGACCGATGCCAGACAGTCCCGCTTCTCCCGTATGAGTCTGGGTCCCCAGAGACTCTCCTGGAACTGGAGCTCAGAGCCTGAGACTCCCTCTCGATTGAAAACGACAACCATACCCTCAGCCGCTAGCCCGCTCCATGTGCACCTCTGTACCTTAGTATTTTACTTCCACACTGCGCCTCCTCTGAGTCTCAGTATGCTTTTCTCTTTCCTTCTAGTTGTAGAATTTCCACTCAGCCAGCCTTCCTGTGGTTCTAGATGATGTCCGTTCCGTCTTTTAGTTGTATTTTTGAAGTGG